TTTTTTTTTTTGGGGGGGGGGGGTCAGGCTTGCGGGGTTTGACGGTTTACTCTAGGGTCTGTTAGGAGGTCATCCTCTGAAAAACGAGGCTCTGCTACCATTCCTAAGACACCCCTTATGAAACTTATATTATAAAGCAGTAATACAACCCGTTTAAAGTCAGCTACTGAGTGAGCCCGATGCCGAACTTACGTGCAGTGCACTAAACAAATTAATTCTATTCTAAACCCGGAAACCCTAAATGAGATTTTTGGGGGTCAGGGTTGCGGGGTTTTGCGGCTTAGTTTTAGGGTCAGTTAGGGTAGAAGAGTGCAGGCTCATCCTCTGAAAAACACCCCTTATGTAATTTATACAGCAATTTTACAACGCTTTTGAAGCCGGCTTCTGAGTAAGCCCGTTGCCGAACTTACATGCAATAAAAAACATGTATACGTATCTGCAACTGTATACACTTACATGATGTACAAATGTGCACATGTACATGTGTACATATGGCCGCAGATACATATACATGCATTCAGGTGTATGTGAGTATGCCTGCGCGGCCTGTGTTCATTGGCTCCTGGTAGAGCTAGGAGCCTGAATAAGTACAATAGGGCATTGTGGTACAGTATGCTTTGTAGTTATGCAAAGGAGCCCTAACAAATGTTTTTGATAGTCATTCATGCCCTACATTGGGTTCTGGTAAGTTTTGCTGGTGAAATATGCTCTGGAAGGGTCGAGTTTCACTGCGGGTCGCCGAGTCGCATGAAACCCTGCTCGCCAGAGCTTTCGCAGACTTAACTGCTGGTCTCAGATGCGCCGTTCCACGAAAGCACCCTGAACCCTTAATCCGAAACCTACAGAAGCCCCCTGAACCCTCGCAACCCTAAACCCTAAACCCTGAAGCAATGCTTGAGCCACCCTGCCGGCCAGTCAGGAGCTGAAAGCTCATGACAGCCTGTCTGAGTCTCATCTCCGTCGCTTTGGTGTAGGGTTTAGGGTTTTTGGGTCTCAGGGTTC